GAGCAGGATCCTGCTCTTGGGAATGGGATAGCAGGAGCCAACAGGCCCTTCGTGGCAGATCTGCCAGGGCAGAGCTCCTGAGGATGCAGAACTGCTTTCTCCACTGTCCTGCACATGGTCCTTGCTGGCCCAGCCATGGACCAAGTGGACTCTGCAGTCACCTGGGGGGAAACTCCAGGTTTGAATCAGGATCCTAAATGAATCCTGCAGTTCTGGGGAGCCCTGGGACAGCCCCAAGCATGGATTCCTGCCACTGGAGCTGCTGCTCTGTGCTGAGGGTATCATGGGGAGGAGAAACTCCTCAGCTGCTGAAAAAACACAAATCTCCACTCCTTTATGAAAGGTAGTTCAGAGGTTTTCCTGAGGAGAAGGGAGGCTCAGCTGGGAGGGGATGTGCACCCCATAGTGCTGGTTCTGTCTCCACAGCCACAAAGCCAAGTGATTCCTCATGGCACTGCTGTGGCTCCCAGGTTTGTTTCCCTCTCTCCTGCACATCCCTGTGCTGTAATTCCAGGGAAAGGCCTCGTGCCAACAGCTGGAAATCACCCCCTAAATGTATTTTAGCTTCTTCCTATGCACAGATGCTTTGCTTTCTCTGCTCTAACCCCTTGATGCTGTGTAAGGTCTGAACTTAGCAATGCACAACCCACTGAGAACTTCCAGAACTTTTGGTAGCTCAGCTCTGCTACCAAAGGATGTCCCTGAGCAGGAGATGGCAGTGGGACATGGAGGAGAAGATGTCCCTGAGCAGGAGAAGGAAGACCCTGAGCAGGAGATGGCAGTGGGACAAAGAGGAAGAGGATGACCCTCAGCAGAAGGACATTCATGAGCAGGAGATGGCAGTGAGACATGCAAGAGAAGGATGTCCCTTGGCAGGAGAAGGAAGACCCTCAGCAGGAGATGGCAGTGGGAGATGCAGGAGAAGAATGTCCCTCAGCAGGAGAAGGAAGACCCTCAGCAGGAGATGGCAGGACATGGAGGAGGATGAACCTCAGCAGGAGATGACAGTGGGACACGGAGGAAGAGGATGGTCCTCAGCAGGAGAAGGATGACCCTCAGCAGGACATGGCAGTGGGACATGCAGGAGAAGAGCAGCTCTGGGAGGTAGCTTGAAAGGTGAAAGGGGAATGTGAAAATGGCTTAAACTGCCTGAAAAGCTCCTTGTGATCACTTCTGTTCCTGCCCACACACACGTGCACACCAGGAGTTCCCAGTGCCAATGGCAGCAAGAGCCAACACTGGATGTTGCCATTGGAGTCCCATTTCACAGCAGTAAATTGGAGAGCCACGAAATAGATGTCCAAGGGACTCCAGGGCCTGCCCTGCACTGCAGCAGGAGCCAGAGGCATTTCCAAGCAAAGCACTGGAGAGGAACTGGGCTCCTCCTGCTCCCAGGAGAGCTGAGGGCTGCAGAAACTGCAGTGGTTTCTGGATCAGGTCTATTTAGTCCAGTTCTCCATCAAAAACACACAGAGATATCCCAGCACTGATTGCTATAAACACAGAGAATCAAAGACTCTCCTGACTTAGGAAGGACCCACCAGGATCATCCAACTCCTATTAAACACTGGATGTAAATACTTGCCTTGCTCTAATGGGCATTAAAGAAAGAGAAGAAGAGGAAATTCCGTCTTCATTCAACCCTAAGGCAGAAGCTGCAAGGAATTCAGGCAGGTGAAAGGACACCTGGGAAGAGCTGTAAATTTAAGGGTGGAAAGAGAAGCTCTACCAGGGAAAGGGCTCAGAAAACACTCCTGCAATCCAATGAATGACTCTTCCCACTTGCCCAGGAAGGAGAACACCAACTGGCAGCACTAAGGTTGGACATGCCCTGCAGCAAGGACTCAGCTCTTGCCCAGAAAGGCAATTCCATGAGCTTAAAGCAACCCCCAAAATGGGAATGTGTGATTTTAGTACCCACTCCATGGGATTTTTGGGCAGAAGAAGAGACAAGGATGTGGTTTCTGTGTCCTGCTGCCACAGCCTGGGGGAGGCTAGATATGGTCCCATCCTTCCCACTGGGCTGGGCTGGCAGGTCCACGTGGCTCAGTGCACAGAGACAATGTCTCCAAATGAAGAAGACCTGAAGTGGCTCTGAAGGGATGCTGCCTGGCCACTGCTCCTCCTCAGTGCCTGCAGGAACGCACAGGGTGGCAGGAACAGGCAGGAATTGTCTGGGAAGGCCAACTGAAGGGCATCATGTGCTCCTTCCACATGGCTGCCCCAGAGGAATGTGCTGGGGAGGTCTCCAGGCAGACAGCTCTCCTTGGGAAGCTCTCAGGGGCACAGTCACTGCCTGGCACAGCACCATCCTGCACTGCCAGCACACAGCTCCGGCCATGCCCCTGGGAAAGGCTGACAACTGCTCCTTGGGAGGGCACAGCAGCTAGACACAGGCAAGGGAGAGCTCATGGAGAAGCTCCTGCTCTCCATGTGCCCTCTACAAGCACTTCATGTGCTTTAGTCAACTCCCATGATTTTGCCAAGCTCTTCCAAAGCCAAGTCTATTCCCTGCCCAGGAGCAGAGCTGTTGGGATGCAAAGGCATTGCAGATACACAGGCTAAACCAGCTTTAGGACAGCCAACTGCTGTGGTGCTTTAGGACAGCCACCTGCACACACCATGTCATCTCCTGTTGAGGGACATCCTTCTCCTCCACATCCCATTGCCATCTCAGCCCACTCCTCCCTCACTCCACACCTTCTTCTGCCACCTGGAAGCCCTGCAGGGCAATGGTGTGGCTGGCAGAGGGGACACTGAGCTCAGGACATGGCCCTGGGTGCCCAGCACACACCTACTGCAGGTGGTCCCATCACCCTGGGTGAGCTCTTGGCTGCAAACCCAGGGAGGTGCTGGCTGTAGACACAGACACAACACTAGAGAATAGGGGTTGGGGGGACAATTCCTCCTGTTGAGGTCCATCGGGACAGTGCAAGAGCTCAGGAGAGAAGTAACTCTTGCTTTAGGGAATGGGGTGATGCCACTCCTAAGGGCTTGGTTGGTGGAGCTGGTCTGGAAGGAGAAAATGCTAAAAGCATCTAGTAAATGGCCTCATATTTGCCAGGCAGCCTAGGGAGATGGTGTCTGGCCACAGAGGTCTAGACACCTTGGGATTTCCATCCACAGTAAACATGCTTCCTCTGGGATTCAGCTCCTGGAACACAAAGCAAAGCAGCTCCCAGAGAAGATGCCTCCTGCACCCCACACTGCCCAGAAGGAGCAGAAGAGCCCAGGGATGGCATGGCAGTGGCACAAGGGCTTGGAAACACCAGTTGTGCTGGCCATGGGCAGGAGGTGAGTGGGAAATGCCAGGGGTGGCCAGAGGAAAGTGGAGCTGGTGGCAGGTGTGTTTCCAAGGTGGTGCTGGACAAGGAGAACAACCTGATTGCCATTTGCACCTCCCTGTGCTTGGCTGGTGGCACTTACACAACCCCAATGAGCTGGTCAGGAACTAGAGAATTTATTTCAGTTGTTTAGAAATCACTGACTGATCATTCAGCTCCAAGCACAGCACTTTGCCTGCAGAGCCCTGGGACCAGAGTTTGCTGTCCCAGGATCTCCTCGAGGCTGAAGCTGCCTCAGAGCCCCCAGGGCATGGTCTGAGGGAGAGACTTGTGTCCCCAAATGGCCCAGAGACACCTGCACAGTTTGTTACTGCAGAGAAGCATCCACACCTGGCACCTAACACAATCCACACTCCCAAAGCCTCCTCCTAAAGGTCTGGGCTTGCCTCTCTGTGCTCCAGGCACCAACCTGACACCTTTCCCAACAGCCACACACTCCCAAAGGGCTCTGGAGTCATCATCACCCCCCACAACCCATCCATCCTTCCAACCCTCCCTCCGCACTGCAAACCTCCCCCAAACCCTCTGCGATGCCTCTCACCCCTGAATGGAGCTGGTGGTGGTTTCACCTTGGCAATCAACTGGAAACCCAACTGGAAACCCAACTGGAGCCACCTGTTGTGCCATGACCAGTTGCAAAAGAACAAATCAGCAAACAGGAGGAAATGTGCATATAAAAAAACCCTTTTTCTCCTGGCATATTGTCAATAAGCTGCAATTGTGCCTTCCCCTAAGGGAAGGGATTGAAGTTCTTGGATGATATGATGCTTGGAGATGTCATTTCTTGGTCATGAATAAAAAAACAAACCCCCAACCAAAAATTTCCACCCCCCCTCAAACTCACAAACTGGTGGTAACAAAACAAGGGCAAAGGACAAAGCTCCCGACAATGACAACCAAAAGAGAAAGGGACACATCAGCATCTGGAATCAAAAACTACTACATACTGTACTTGGGAAGTCTTCTGGGCAAAGCTCATTGGCATCTAGAAAGGACATCACTAAGAGTCTTGTGCATATGATATGTATGAGACACGATGCCAGGGGAGGGTGGATGGACCCTTAGGAAACTGTCACTCACCAAACTGGTCCATGACAAGAGAAAAGAAGAGATGTAAAAAGGTTTTCCCCATCCCACCTCCCCCCCAGGTGTCACAGATTCCTTCTCATGTGTGGGAACAGCCTCCTCTAGGCTGAGTTTATTTGGGGGGGGGGGTTGTCTTTAAAAAAAAGGAAGTCTTCAGCTTGTGAAGAAGTTCATCAGTCTGTGAGATGCACTTGGGTCCACAGCACCAAAGAGCTTCAGCTCTCCCTCAGCCCTCTGGATGCTCCCAGGGGCTGTGGGGAGGGAGCTGCACAGCATCCCCAGAGCCCAGGGCAGGAGGAGATGTGCTTCTCATGGCCTTTCCTTGCATTCCTCCTCTGGCCAAAGTCTCCCCACTCCTGAGGTGCCTGGGCCAGCTGCAGCAGCCTTGTGCAAGAGGAAACATGCAGCTGCTCTTCTCTTCCTTTGGAGACTCCCATTGGCCTTGGAGCCCTTTTGCAAGAAAGCAATTGCTTTATTATTATTTAAAAATATTTCAGAGTTTGTTTTGCTTTGTGGGTTTTTTTTTCAAAATAGTTGTCTTTTTTTTTTTCCTTTTTTCCTTTTTTTTTGTTCCCTTTTTCCATTGCTTAAATTCCAGAAGCTCTTGGCAACTTCTCCTTGCTGAGGACAGGCTGTTCCCTCCTGCTGCCAAGAGCCTCAGAGCAGCTGCCTGTGCCTGGTCCATGCAGAGCACTCAGGGACTGGAGCTGGGACACACAGGGGTGAAGGGGAGCAGGGCCTTGAGGAAGAGGAGGAGGAGATGCAGCTATCAAACCTCCACAGACTGGATTTGGTTCATCTGTGCTCTCATCACCTGGATGCTGTTCAGGATCTTCTTCTGGTGTCCTGCTAAAGTGACCCCAACTCGCAGAATGTCCCTGGGGGAGGGAAACAAATGAACATAAACATCACAAGGGGTTTCCTCAGGGCAGAGTAACATCATGGATGATGGTTGAGATGGTCTTGAAAGTCCTTTTCAACCCAAACCATTCCATGACTCTATGATTCCATGATTCTATGATTCCATGATTCTATGATGCCATGAGTCTTTGAGAAGAGTATCATAGTGTCATAGGATGTTGGAATGGACCTTAGAGATCATCTAGTCCCGAGCCCCTGCCTGGGCAGGGACATCTCCCACCACACTCCCACCCACCAGTGTTTAGGGAGCTGAAGCCTCCATAGATGTCTCCCATGAAGACAATAACTAGATGCAAACCCTGTGAACCCTCCACTCTTTTTTTCTGACTTATCCTCCCAATCTTTGCATCTTCTGCCTACCTGAGGCACTCTCAGAGCTCTGGAACCTCCACAGAGTGTGAAAGCCAATGCTCTGCTCACTGCTTCTAAGTCAACTGGCCTTCAGCTTTCTACCCTTGTACCTTTTTGTGTGGATTCTCCCTCATTTTGGGACACACTAACCTTGCTGCCTTTCCTTTGAACTGATAAACACATGAAGGGATCAACTTTTGTACTTAGCCTCTTCGATAAATCATCATAACCTCATTTTTGGGCTGCTTCTGGTTTTTCTAGGCACCCGGGAGAGGTAAAGCTCATGCCAAGAGTATGAGTGTGACCACACTGGTCCTGTCTCTGGCCTCAGTTGAGTTTGCTCTCATCTCCCTCTCGGTGGGTAAACCTCAGTCCTGAATTCTTCAGATCTTCTTCCAATCAGGGATGAATGGAATCCATGAGACAAGACCCACACCTGACTCTAAGGATTTCAGTTGCCTTTTCTCCTTCTTTGAGTGCTAGGAACACGCTTTTAAGGCAAGTGTGGCCAAGCCCTTCCCTGGTTTAGAGTGGAAGCCAATGGGCAAAGAAGGATATACAGGAGCTCCAGAGAAAGGTGGAAAAAAGTCTTCACTCATGTCTGTAAACCAGAAGAGTGTGGGTCTGCACAGCCCTGGGAGTCCAACCTTCCTGCCCTGGACATTAGACATTAGATGGGATATTGGGAAGGAATTGCTCCTTGTGAGGGTGGTGAGACACTGACATGGATTGCCCAGAGTATCTGTGGCTGCTCCATCCCTGGGAGTGTTCCAGGCCAGGTTGGATGGGGCTTGGAGCAGCCTGGGCTAGTAGAAGGTGTCCCTGCCCATGGCAGGGGGTGGAAGGAGATGTGCTTTGAGGGCTTTCCAACCCAGCCCAGTCTGGGATTCTCTGAAACAGACAATTTGGCGGCCCAGGTGGCCCAGCCTGGGACAGACCAGTGAGAAACCTTCCTGGTAGGTCAGTGTTGAACCCACCCATGGGGATTTGGTGATCTGAGTCAGAAATCATTTCCCCTTTGCTGCCTGTTCAAACCTGGGGAAAGCAGCAGCTCCACTCACATGATTATCTACTTCTGTAATGACCAGTGAACATCAGGTGGTGTCAAGTATGTGTTGCACCATTATTTCCCAAGGCGAAAGGACTTGGAGTGTCCTCTCTAGGATTCATCCAGCCTAAAGGTGAGGATGTGGCAGGAAGGTTTGTCAAAGCTTGTGAGACATGAGCTGAGGATTGTGATGAAGGCAGTTGGAGAGGACTTGGAGGACATTGTGAGGGATGTGGTAAGGCACTGGGAGAAGTGGCATTTAGGGACAGTGAGGATGTCTGTGAGGGAACAGGCTGATCAGCTGTGCTGCCTGCAGAGCTCTTTGCTGTCAGATGCTGCAACCAGGCAGGGCTGGGTTGTGGTGGGACTCTGATGTCTCTCTTTGGCCAATGTTCTTCTTCCCTACCCTTCTGATTTTGTGGCCCCTCTTTCTGTTGTATGAACACAGCCAAGAGTGTGCCAGAATCATCCCCAAGGCCCTGGGGTTGTACCACAGATGGACTGGAACAGGCAGAGCTGCCACAGCCATTTCCCAGCAGCAAATGAGAACAAAGAGCCACAAAAGGTCACAGTGACTGTGTGAATGGACTCTGACTCACTGGGAGATTTAGGCACCAAATCCAAACCCTTCCTGGTCACCAGGCACAGAGACACTGCAGCACTTACAGATGGCTTTAAGGCTTGGCTCTTTCTTACGGTTTCTACAGCTAACTGCAAGCAGCCACAAATCTTTCACCATAGGCATCAAAGCCACAGCTAGTCCCAAGGGACTTCAAACCGCACCACAAATGGACTGCAGCTCCTGCTTTCTACAAGGAACTGTCTCAGAATTTGTCACTGAGGGATGTTTTAGTGGCTGCAGGACAATCTAGACCAAACTGGAAGCCATTCTCCAAGGGAGGATCTTAAGACAGTTAAGGACCTGCAGGGAGGTGTCAGAGGCTGGAGCAGGCTCTGCTTAGCTGGAGAAAAAGAGACTGAGCACAGAGCTGGATACAACTTGCTCCCGAGGGGCAGTGCAGGGGCAGGGACAGGAGCCAGGGAATGGCTGGAGCTGTGTCAGGGGAGGGTTAGGTTGGATATCAGGCAAAGGTTGTTCCCCCAGAGGTGTTTGGGCACTGAACAGCTCCCCAGGGCAGTGGTCACAGCCCCAAGGCTGACAGAGCTCCAGGAGTGTTTGGCCAATGCTCTCAGCACAGGGTGGGTTGTTGGGGTGTCTGTGCAGGGCAGAGATTGGACTGATGATCCTCAAGGGTCCCTTCTGAATATTCTGTGATTCTGCCCCGTGGTCCTGACCATTAGGACAAGAGTCAATGGGCAGGAACTGATGCCCAGGAAGTTCCACCTAAACATGAGGAAGAACTTCACTGTGTGGGTGACCAAGCACTGGAACACATTGCCCAGAGAGGGGGTGAGATCTCTCTGTGGACACAATCCTGAGTATAGTGCTCTAGAAGACCTTGCCTGAGCAGAAAGGTGGGACTAGATGACCTCCAGTGGTCACTAACCACTGTGTGATTCCATGTTGGACTTCCAGAGATCTTTCTTAGACAGAATTTTGCAGCATGCTTGTCCCCACTGCCAATACACCACACATCCAAGAGGCCTGCAGAGGCCAAAAGGGCTCAAGTGACTGGACATTGGCTGATGCTGATCTGAAATCTCCAGTTGTTCCATGTGGAGACCCTTAAGGGAGTTTCATTTTCCCAGTGGGGACATGCAGTGTGGAGATGAATCCTGCAGTTACAGAGTGACAGACACAGCCTGGAGAGCAGCCAGAGCCTGCAGGAACTGAACAGACTAAAAGTGGCTCTATAAAGCAATAAATCCTATAAAAGGAAAGCTACAAAAAGGGAAAATAAAAGCTAATTCAAGAATAAACAGCTGTTGAAGTGCTGAGACTCTCCCTGAGTGTGAGACCCAAACTTGGGCACTTACTCTACAGTCATCTGAGATACTACATCAAAGGTGGTGAAACCAGCACTGGCAAAGCTCTCCTTGTACTGGCTCATCTTGATGGCATCCAGCCACTCATCCACAGTGTTGAAGCTGGTGTAATCTGGGATTGTGCGGTCCAGGAGGGGAAGGTTCATCCTGCAACACACAAACAGGGAATGAGAAGAACAAACTGAGCAAGCACAACTGTTCCTACACCCTGCAGCAGCTGCAGGAGCCTGGAGCAGCAGCAGGCACACTGCACTGGGTGGGGTATCACCCACCTATGCTGGGGGAAGGAGTGTGGAGACCATCAGAGACATCTGACGTCTCCTGGCTGCACCAGGGGAGAATGTTCATGCTCATAATGGGACCAGTTCTTCCCAGAGGTTAGTGGCTCCCACCCAGGCCAGGGAAACTTCACACTGCCTCATGAGACTTCTTTGTCTGCACTGAGTGTGACACTGGACTAGGAAAGCAACCACACTCCTCGTGCAGCAATGTGCACATGAAACCAGGATGTTCCTCCATGTGCAGAGCTGTCTGTGTTCACCACATCTGTCCAAGGAAAGGGACCACAGTGACCTTGACATCTGCATCCTTGCCTGGTCCCTCTCCCATCCCTGGAAGTGTTCCAGGCCAGGTTGGATGAGGCTTGGAGCAACCTGGGTTAGTGGAAGGGGTCCCATGGCAGGGGGGGAATGAGATGAGCTTTAAGGTCTCTTCCAGCCCAAACCATTCTGGGATTCTATTATCTTTCAATGCCCTTTGTATAAAAGACCAAACAACACAAACTGCCTCTAAAGTAGCTCCTAGAGGGATGCAAGGGTGGTGCCCACCAGGAGCCAGAGGACAGATCTGCACTAAGCAGTAGAGGCCAAGGGGAAGGCAGAGATACTAACCCAGAGGAGAGAGGTGCCATGGCTTTCAGGCTGTTTGGATTTCGGATCATTTTATCTAAGGTGTTGACAATCTGCCCAAACTTGGGCCTGTGGTTTCGATCCTTCTGCCAACAGTCAAGCATCAGCTGGTGCAGAGCATTGGGGCAATCCATGGGTGGAGGCAGCCGATAGTCCTGTTCGATGGCATTGATCACCTGCAGGAGGACACAAAGGCATCAGTACAGTTGGGATAAAACCTATTTCATCCCTAATGGTCCTTTCTTTGGATCCTGAGGGTGATGGGCATGAGCAGCCACACCTCAGGCTGCACTCACTGCTGCCCACCAGCTCCTCACCACCACACACTGCTCTAACTCCCAGAACCTCTCTCAGGGATCCAGAGGAAGGACCTCCATGTCTCTGGCTATTCTCACCATGGGATCAAGGCTGCCATGGCTTTGTCAAGTCTTGTCCTGCACATTTCCAAGGACAGAGATCTGTCTGGGCAGCTGTGCCACCCTCTTGGGGAAGGACTAGGCATATACACGGTGGTGTGTATGAGCAGAAAAGCTACATGGGGAAAACTGAGGATGCTGCAGTTGGGACTGGGAGAGAGAAGGGAAGGGTTGGAAAAGACCTCCAAGATCATCAAGTCCAACCCTACCGTGGTTACTAGGCCATGGCACTATGCGAATAGGAAGGTGAAGGAGGAAGAACTTCTTCTCTGTGCAGTCACTGAGCACTGAATAGGTTGCTCAGAGAGGCTGTGGATTCTCCATCAGTGGAGATATCCCAGACCCATCTGCACACAATCCTGAGCCATGTGCTCCAGGATAGCCCTAGAGCAGGGAGGTGGGACCAGATGACCCACTGTGGTCCCTTCCAACCTGACCCGTTCTGTGATCCTGTGACTGTGTGATTCCTCCCTGGCCTGGTCCAAGCAGTTTGCTGCTGCCACCAGGCAGATGCCACACAGCAGCTGAGGCTGCTGTCTCCATCTCCTCTTCCCCAGCCTCCCCAGGCGCTCACACCCCAGGGTCAGGAGGCTAATCGGCGCTGAATCTGCGCCACGCGCTGCTCCGCGGGGAGGACCAGCTGTGGTTAAGTGGTGACAGCTTCTGGGGCACCATGTCCTGCGGCACAAAGAGGGAGAAGAGGCTGGGGGAGGCGCAGCAGGAGATGCCAAGGAGACAGGCACAGGCTCTGCCATCGCCGCCGGCGCCATCGGTGCTGCCGCGGCACAGAAGCTGTGACAGGACACACCAGTGAAGGAACAGGGCAGGGAGGAGGACCAGGGCCAGGGATGGCACAGGTGGTAGGGGCAGAGGGGTGCTGAGGTAGGGAGAAGGGCAGTGATGCCTCACTGGAGGAAATGCTTGAAACCGAGGCAATAGGGAGGTGATTCTCCCCCTCTACTCTGCTCTCATGAGATCCCACCTGGAATCCTGCACACAGCTCTAGTGTCCCCATCAGAAGGACATGGAACTGTTGGAGCAAGGCCAGAGGAGGCCACAAAGATGATCAGAGGACTGGAGCACCTTCCCTATGAAGACAGGCTGAGAGAGTTGGGGCTGTTCAGCCTGGAGAGAAGGTTGTGTGGAGACCTCAGAGCAACCTGCCAGGAGCTGAAGGGGCTCCAGGGAAGCTGCAGAGGGACTCTGTGTTAGGAACTGCAGGGACAGTGAACCCCTTCCATGAAGCCTTTCCAGCAGTTTTGGTAGCACAGCTGTTTGGCTGTTAAAGGCTCAACTAAGTTTAATCCTTTCCTCCTAGACTTGGAATCATCAAGGGATTCAGCACAACATCTGTGCAAGGACTCAAGCCTGACCTCAGAGGTAGAAGTAGGAACTGTTGGAACTGCAGTGATGGGATAAGTTGTTTTGGGGGATGAGATAATGGGTACAAATTGAAAGAGGGAAATTTTGGCTTGATATTAGGAAGAGGTTTTTCCCTGTGAGGGTGGTGAAACACTGGCACAAGTTGCCCAGGGAGACTCTGGCTGCCCCAACCCTGGCAGTCTTCACAGCCAGGTTGGCTAAAGCCTTGAGCAACCTGCTCTGGTGGGAGGTGTCAAGAGAATCATGGGCAATGGCACTGGTACAGCAAAGGTGTGCACTGTAGCCACAGATCATCCTTGCATGGAGGCAAGGAAACTTGTTCCCAGGAGCAAGGAGTGTACAAAAGTGTTCCACCTCAATTTGAGAAGAGTCATAAAGTATTTATGGAATACCTTGTGGCTTTGGCTTCTAGCTGCAGAGCTAGAATTAATAGCTGCAAGTAAGTTGCTTGGCTTCTTTAGACCACAGTCCAAGCTTGCCATGGGAGATGTAATGACCATCTAGTGGAAGATGCTCTTGACCATGGCAGGGTCGTTGGAATGAGATGATCTTTAGAGGTCACTTCCAACCCAACTCATTCTGTGACTCTACATGACTTTCCTGGAATGCCTGTGATCTCCAGCACATGGAGCTCTGCTTGCTGCTCCAGGTGCCCTCTGCTCAGTGACATTTCCACCTACCTGGTCCCTTACCTCCTGGGCAGCTCCTACCACCCGAGGGTGCTCACCTTACCCTGTCCCACTGCAGTGGGTGCTGTGCAGTGCCCCAGCAGGACCAGAACAAACTTCAAAGTTACCCCCATTACTTCTCCCAAAGGTGTTGACCTTGGACACACCTCCCACGACATGTGGCTCTGGACATGCCACAGGCTGGGGCTAGCTGTGGCCATGCTTTGGCCTTGCAGTGCTCCCAGCTGCAGTGTTTCTGCCCCTGGTTTCTTAGCCACTCACATCTTGGTTGGTCATGTCCCAGTAGGGCCTCTCTCCATATGACATCACCTCCCACATGACTATTCCATAGCTCCACACGTCGCTGGCTGAGGTGAATTTTCGGTACTGAATGGCCTCAGGTGCTGTCCACCGGATCGGGATCTTCCCACCCTGCAGGGAGAGACCAGAGCAAGGTAACAGACAGAGCAACTCAAGCAGGAGTGTGCAAAATATTTGCCTCTAATACAATCCTAGCAGAAAGGGAGCACAGGACTATTCCTAATGCTACATCAGGATGCCTGGGGATTGTCTAGCCAAGCTGGGAAGCTTACAGTGATGATGGTTCTCCCCATTTGGTGACCTGTCCCACCACCCTCTTGGGGAAGAAGTTCTTCCTGTTATTCACTCTGAACTTCCCAAGCCACTATGTTTTTGTCTATTGCCCATTAGTGTATCATCTGGTGCCACAGCAAAGAGTTTGCCTTCTTCTTCTTCTATTTCTTCTTGTGCCACTACAAAGAGTTTGCATCGGCCACTTTCTTCTTCTCCTTCCTCTTCCTCTTCTTCCTCCTCTTCCTCCTCTTCTTCCTCCTCTTCTTCTTCTTCCTCCTCCTCTTCTTCTTCTTCTTCCTCCTCCTCTTCTTCTTCTTCTTCCTTCTTCTTCCTCTTCTTCTTCCTCTTCGTCTTCTTCTTCTTCTTCTACTTCTTGTGGCACTACAAAGAGTTTGACTCTGCCTTCTTCTTCTTTCAAGTACTGCAGGTCACTTAGAGATGGCCCCTCAGCCTCTTCTTCACCACATTAAACAAGGCCAACTCCTTCCACTTGCCTCCTGCTACTGTCCTCCTCAGCATGACAAAATGCCCATGGCACTAGGAAGCTCTTAGGCAGAGAAATGAATGGCTAGGGATGTAGAAAAATCCAAACTGATCTTCCATCCTTTTGCGGTCACCTATCTCTCTCTAGAGCAGAATAAAGGATTTAGAACACCTTCCCCTTCAATTTTCTGCAGCTGTTGACTCTTTGAAGTCGGTGATACATTGTCCTTGAGTTGGAGGTCTCATTCTCAGTCTACCTGTGGATATCCACATGATCTAGCAGGTCTTGATCCTGCCTCTTTCTGGAGACAGAGTGAACAGCTTATTTAGCATGGCATGCTGGGTCACTGGTGGGAAATGGGATGGACTGGGTGGGCACTGGGGTGTCTGTCATCCAGCTCTGGAGCAATCAGGACTCTCCACTCCCACAGAGGAGTTAAGCCCTGGAGTGCACAGGAGTGACGCACACAGTGTGGGGACATGGGGATTGCACTGCTCTGCTTAAGCCCTTCCAGCCTCTGATCTTCCACCAGGGGCTTTGGACTTGAGCCATGCACTCAAGGGACCTTCTGAAGGGAAAAGCTTCTCCTGTGCTGAAAAAGAAGCAAATTCATCTGTGTTTTGTGGCTGAGAGAAGATTAAAGAACATAAGATTTTGTCAATGAGAAACTGTCATGTCTTATTAAGGGTCTTTGAGGACTTCATAGGCCCCAGCACCACTACATGCTGCAATAATGAAAAAAAGATAATGTTCCTTAATCTTCTCACAGCCACAAACCTCAGACAAATTGTCCTGTTTTCCACAGGAGCGGGAGACCAAGCATTCCACACCAAACATGATGTGCTCTCCAGGACTCCTGACAGAGCTCCTGCCTAGCACTGGGCTTAAAACATGGCTAAAAGAGAAGCCCTAAAGTAGAAATTACAGACTTTAGAGGTTCCTCACTTCAGTAGGACCTCCCACCTCTGTGTGATCTGACTCAGAGCTTCACCACCCTGAAGATGGTCCAGCATGAACCTCTCGAGCTGTAGCTTGTGGCTGTTGCCCATCCATGGACACAAAGTCCCTGGAATAAGGATAATAAAATCCACTCATGCATCTCAGGGCATTTGGTCAGGCATTGGGATAGTTTAGAGGTTCCTCACTTCAGTAGGACCTCCCACCTCTGTGTGATCTGACTCAGAGCTTCACCACCCTGAAGATGGTCCAGCATGAACCTCTCGAGCTGTAGCTTGTGGCTGTTGCCCATCCATGGACACAAAGTCCCTGGAATAAGGATAATAAAATCCACTCATGCATCTCAGGGCATTTGGTCAGGCATTGGGATAGGGTCAGGCAAGGCACTGGAATATTGCCCAGGGAGGTGGTGGAGTCACCATCTCTGGAGGTATTTAAGAGGTGTCTGGATGTGGTGCTGGAGGATCTGGTTTAGGGTTTAGGTGTTCCAGTAGTGACAGGTTAATGGTTGGACTTGGTGATCTTGGAGGTTTCCTCCAACCCTGATAGTTCTATGATTCTATGGGTGGGTATAGTGCATGATCCCAACTAAGTGCTTCTCAGGGACATGGGAGTGTTGGCAGACATGTTTGGAAGAAGGCACAGTTAGCCACAAGAGTGACAGGATCTTGCAAGAGAACAATCTTCCTTGGTTCCTTTCATTGGTCTTTCCCACCTTCCTTCCACCTTCCCACCTGGGACCTTATTTTCCACCCTGACAAAGTACTCCTCATGCCAAGTGAGGTTCTCCCCTTCCCCTCTCCAAATCCCTCCCTCTGGAAGAACAGCATTACCAGTGCACTGGTGTAGGTGGGATCAGAGGTGTCATCCTCCAGGAAGCGGGAGAGGCCGAAGTCGGACACCTTGCAGACCAGGTTGCTGTTGACCAGGATGTTGCGTGCTGCCAGGTCCCTGTGCACGTAGTTCATGTCTGCCAGGTACTTCATGCCAGCAGCAATGCCTCTCAGCATTCCCACCAGCTGGATCACCGTGAACTGCCCATCGTTTTGCTTAGGGAAAAGAGGGAAAGTCCATGTGAGAGGACTTGTCATGCTCAGGCTTCAGCCAGAAGTCTCTTCCTACTCCTAATGTCAAGGCACAGCTATGCCATGAAGATGCAAGTTACCTCTCAAAGCAGGGGGGTGGGCATCACCCCCTGGGCATCACCACACTGGCTGCTGTCACCCAAAGGTGCACCCACCGTGCCCAGGAGGGCTCAGGAGGGCAGATCTAATCCTATTAAGCAGCTTATCTTTAATGATCCATTTCAAACTCAGAGCTAGAAACTTCCCCTCAGCTGGAGGTGAAATTCTGCTGTTAAAGCTATGCCAGCCTGGCCCTGTGTATTCACTGAGTCAGAGTCTGCCCATGCACCCATGGGTGTGCAGGTAGGCACAGCCTTTGGCTAGGAGCAGTGGACAGACACATATGACAGCCCTGGTGCCACCTTCACCTCTGTCCCCAAGGCACAGATCTCTGGACTGTGCAGCAGATGCCCCAGGGGCAGGGGATGGGAGGTGATCCTTCTCCTCTGCTCAGCCCCAGTGAGGAACATCTGAAGTGTTGTGTCCACTTCTGGATCCTCAGTGCCAAAGACATGGAGCTCCTGGAGCAGGTCCAGCAAAGGGCAACAAAGATGCTGAAGGGACTGGAGCACCTCAGTGATGAGGAAAGGCTAAAGGAGTTGGGGCTGCTCAGCCTTGAGAAGAGATACTGAGAGGGACCTCATACATGTATACAAATATCTGGAGGGGGTGCCAAGGAGATTGAACAGGTGAAGGGGGTGCCAAGGAGATTGATCAGGTGATCCTCAGTGGTGGAAACCAATAAAACAAGAGGTAGAAACTGATGCCCAGAAGTTCCACCTGAATACAAGGAAGAACTTGTTCCCTGTGCAGTCACTGAGCACTGAACAGGTTGCCCAGAGAGGTCATGGATTCTCTCTCACTGGAGATATTCCAGACCCATCTGGACACAATCCTGACCCATGTGCTCTGAGCTGGCCCTGCTTGAGCAGGGAGGTGGGACCAGACCACCCCCTGTGGTCCCTTCCAGCCTGACTGATTCTGTGGGATACTGGGTGCAAAGGGAAGGGCACTGGGAAGGGAACCTTCTCCCCAGTCCTCCTCTGGCCCAGCACAGTCTCTGGAGCTGCACACTCCCAGGATCTCATACCCGCAGGAAGGAGTCCAGTGAGCCATTCTCCATGAACTCAGTGATGATCATGACTGGAGAACTCTTGGTGACCACCCCCTCCAGGTGGATGACGTTGGGGTGGTCGAACTGCCCCATGATGCTGGCTTCGCTCAGGAAGTCCCTTCTCTGCTTCTCTGTGTAACCAGACTTGAGGGTCTTGATGGCCACAAAGATCTCTCTTTTGCCAGGAAGCTTGAGATGCCCACTGCACACCTCACCAAACTCCCCTGTGAATGAACAAGTAAGGCTTGTCAAGTCTCTCACACCTCTGCCTTGCTCCCCAGGGATCCCACTGGCTCCAGCTGCACACCTCTGAGCTGCCCACCCTCCATCTGAGCTGTGCTTCCTCCCTCCTCACCAAAGACCTCTCTCAGGTGGACTCCTCACTGGTGAGGAGCATTGGAGGAGCATGAATGGCTTGATTTGCACGTGGGAACTGGATGTTCACCAAAGACCTCTCTCAGGTGGACTCCTCACTGGTGAGGAGCATTGGAGGAGCATGAATGGCTTGATTTGCATGTGGGAACTGGATGTTGCTTTTCCAGCACTGGATCCCCCTGCTCATCTAGCCCAGACTGGGGCTAAGTGTAAGACCTCAGTGACCCCAGTAAGACCTTATTGACCCCAGTCTTCCTAGTACAGGTAATGCTAAACCCTCCCCAAAGCCTGGAGCACAAAGCAGCCTGTGCTGAGGCCCAGGCTGCCATCCCCAGGTGACCTACCTGCCCCAATCACCTGCTCGATTTTGACACAAGAGATATCAATTTCCTTTGCAAATTCCCTGACAGCTTCATTGGGATCTTCATAGGTGAAGGGATCAATATAGATCTTCATCCCTGGAGTCACTGCATAAAGGTGAGGGAGAGAGTCAGGCACATGGATGTTGGCATGAGGGGAAAGAGACACCTGCTTGGGTGAGGGTCTTTGACCTCAGTTAGCTGCATAACAAGGGCACGAAGCAGACACAAACAGTTGAGAAAGAACATGCAGAGCCACGTTCCACAGCTGGATTTGATGAATGTTCCCAAGTCATTGCTGGGGCAGCGAGGGAAGCTCAGACTGCACACTGACTCCTCCACGGGGAGGTGTGACCCTCCCAGGGGCAGTGCAGGCAGGATGGACAGTGCAGTCTGCTCCATTCTCCTGGCAGATAACCCTGCCCGAGGCTGAGTTCCCTCTTGGAGGCTCCACATGGTCAAGGCAAGCCATGGGGGACACCAGGAAAACTGCACAGACCAGGATCCTCCTGCTGGGCAGGGCAGAGGACACAGGGACATGGCACGGGGGCTGAGGAGGCTGCTGCCACATCCTATACTCCCTGCATCCTGGGACAGCTCCTGCCTGTGCTTCTCCCTTTTCTAGACCCATTCTCTGGCCTCTGGCTGACTCCAAAACATCTGGAGGGCAGAGCTCACGGCTCACTGAACAAGGAGCCCAACAGAGCAGCAGGGCATGGCTCCAGCTCCAGGCTGCTGCTGGGTTCAGGGGGAGCTGCAATGCTCCCAGGCCTTGGCAATTTGCTATAGTCTCTCCACAGAGGGGGAGTAAGCAGAGACTGAGCCTCAGACAGGTGTGTTGAGAGAGGAATTGGCTAAAATCGCCCCAGGCCCCTTATCAGCTCCTCTGCATCCCATGGCACTGAGCCTGTCCTAGGCACCGCGATTGATGCCCAGCCTGGAGCTGTCATGTCCCACTCCAGACCCCAGGAGAACACATGGATGTGTGTTTACACATGCAGCCAGGACTAACAAACAGCTGAGAGCTGCATTTCCATCATCTCTGCTGGAAAGAGCCATTTTTCCTGGTGAGGGACAGAGAGGCAAGAGCACAGTGCTGCTGGGGCACAGGGACAGCTCAGAGCTCTGCCCTTTGGCAGGGGTTTCCCAGGGGAAGGCAGAAGCAACAGTGAGTCCTGAGTGGAAACACTGTTGGTGTTTTCCATGCTCTGAGCAAGGTCTGGATTTGTACAGGGAGTAAAAGGGGCAGAAATCCTGAGGCTACAAGTAGAACAGGAGGTAAATAATAACTGAGATGGGAATAAAGCAGGATTAGAGGGACAGGGCTCCAGTGAGAGAGGAGAAAGGGATTTCAAGGACATGCAGGCAGGGGTTAATCACAGGATCATGGAATGCTTTGGGTTGGAAGGGAATCTTAAATGACCTCATCTCCTTCCAACTCCCTGCCATGGGCAGGGACACCTTCCATTAGCCCAGGTGGCTCCAAGCCCTGTCCAACC